ATCATAACTTTGAAATTTAAAATTAACAATTTCTAATCAAAAAAAAACAAAAGTTGCGGAGTGATGACTTTTCGCGCGCGCTATCGGTGCCGGCTGAAATAAAATTAAAAATTGACATTTTAATACCATTATTAAGTTTGGCTTTTACGCAATAGAGTGGAAAACATCCATGATTATAATGATTCATAAATCAGGTAAAGATTAAATTAAATCTTCATGCAGACCAATAAGCTTACTGTCATGCCTTTCTAAACTCTTTGAAAGAGCACTGCTTTTAAAGCTGAAATCATTCCTCGATGGTCAAAATCTAATACCAGTTTTGTTTAAAGGAAAAATATGCAGTTATTGAGCAAGTGAATCATTTAACGAATGAAATAAGACACGCGTGTGAGCTCAGAGAATATTGTTCCGCGGTATTTCTCGATGTTAAACAAGCCCTTGATAAAATATGGCATAATTGGCTCCTATATAAGATACCCTGTTCATTACCTTCCAATGTCTACTCTGTTTTAGAATTATATTTGCATAACAGAAGCTTTAAAGTTAAGTGTAAATCATGTACTTCCAATAATTTCCCAATAGCAGCTGGTGTTCAACAAGAAAGTGTTCTTGGCCTTATCTTGTATATACTGTATACATCTGATATCCCAATAAGTAGCTCAGTCGTCACCACAACGTTTGCTGATGATATGGCAATTTTATGCCGAAACAAAAACGTTGTGTTAGCTTCAAACCAACTTCAATTTCACTAATTTCAGGTGAAGAAATGGTTGTCAAAATAGCGATAAAATTAACGAACTAAAATGTAGACATGTCATATTTACCTTAAATCGAAGTATATATTCGACAATTTTACTAAAGAACATTCTCATACCGCAAGCTGATAATATAACGTACTTAGGTATTCACCTTGACAGACGACTAACTTGGCGCAAACATATTGAAGCCAAAAAAATTCAGATGGAGCTCCAAGCCTCTAAGTTGCATTGGCTCATTAATAGCAGATTTTCCCTATGCTTAGAGTATAAAGTACTCTTGTATAACAGCATCATACAACCAATATGGACTTATGGTATTCAGTTATTTGGCAATGCTAGTGCTTCAAATATTTTTGTCTGAAATATTTTTGTCTGAATAAAGCAGTTGAACTGCTTTCTTAATAAACCACTTAACATTCACACCAATGAAATTTAACCCATTAATCTAAGTGAGGTTCGTGATATAAGGTTTACTTATTTTATTTTATTTTATACAATGTGTAGTTAAAATAAAAATTGTAATAGGTATTATGTAATAAGTGATAAGATTTTAAAACTAATTTTTAGTCTCTTTGTAAGAGAAGACACAATAAATAAATGGGTAAGCATTTAAAAAAAAATTTATTTTATACATTTATGTGATAAAATTTTATTATAGTGGCTGTTTCCAAAAAACTAAGTAAATTTCTTTTCATTGCCTTAGCAATATTCTTTTGGTAATTTTTGACGTTTGCATTATTTTGCGAAAAATTTATATATTAAAAAGGTAAAACAACTTGTTCCACTTTGGCAGCCAAAGTTAAAAAGTGCACAGAAATATAAACCTGTCTTTCGTTGGGTAGTTCATTTTATTGAGCTACCGCCAAATGATGTAGTACAAAAAGCTGGACATGAAAAAGATAGTTTTGACTTTGTCAAAGAAGCCAATCTCGCTGGTTTGCAAATGAACCTGCACTTGCACAACTGAATGACAGATGAAAATGGCATGGGTTTAATCCACTGGGCAGCAGATCACGATGCATTCGAAATTTCTTATTCAATCCGGGTACTAATGTTGATTTTCGTGATGATGAAGACTGCGTTACATTATGTTGCTAGTTGTGGTCATATTGATTGTGTACGTCTCTTACTATCTTTTAAAGCAAACAGTAAACTTATTGATACAAATGGTTAAACATGTTCGGATTATGCTAACAATAATGATATTCGTATGCTGTTGTCTTCATAACAAATAAAATGTACAAATTTAAATGTACTTTGTGACAGTTGACTCTGAATGATGGTGGCCTAAATAACTTCAAAATAAGAGTATCAAACTTTAAGCCAGTGTTACTCAGTCGCTGATACACGCGATTAGGACAGCTGGCCTGTAAAATATTGAATTTTTGGCTTTAACGATATTATTTGTTTGGAAAATATTGGTACTACTCTTTGCATCGGTTGCTTTTAATATTTTATTTGTAAAATACATTGAGTATTTTTTTTATTTACAGCATGTCCTAAGTCGAGAATCACTACTCTAATTTATGCGACTTTTGCAAACATTTTGTTGTTGAAGTCAAGATAAGTCCTTTGATTTATTGCTTACTTGATCCTTTTTTCTTGCAAACGGGTAAACTTTCACTAAAGTTTTTAGTGGCAATGGTTAGTTGATGTTGAGTAAGTCCGAGACAAAGTTAATTAATGCTGATATATAATAGCTGATATAATTTCAGATATTTTACGCAAAAAAATGCAGCGGGTCAAGTTAATTTAACGCGAAAGAATTTTGAGAATATCTAAACGAGGTCCTTCATTTGGTGAGGGAATTTCAATTTTTTTTTTATGATCGAATTATCGTTTTTTACAACAGCTCTAAATATTTCGGAACAATATCCACTTTGGCATAAAAGCTCGTGGTAAATAGTCAAACTGATCATTTATGTTATTTACTGAAATTATTTTATAATTATCTTTGGATATTTTAAGGATCTATTTATCAACATCCTACAACGATTATTTACCATAATTCAATTAATTCGAAAAATTGCTCAAATAAAAACGCTTCATCAACTTGCACGTTCTCCGCTATTGTAAAATATGTAAACAAAGTACTGTAATCAAAATATTTTCACATCTGATGTTAGCTGTCAAAATGTAACTCGCACATTTTTTTTGGACTAATTAATTAAATATGTGCAGTGCAAAAAATCTTATTTGGTTTAGCATCAACTTAGCCTAACTCGCACACTTCCCTCAATTAAAGCACAAAAATAAATAAATGAAAGACTCACACAGACTCTCACAACTGCCAAAAGAGTTTCCATTCGCATCGCATGAGATGTATTTCTTTCCATAAAAATTATTCCTTTTGCAGCTGAGTACATATCTGGAGTATTCAAGTCTTCGATGTTCGGTTTAAATTCCTCTTTTTTTTTTAAATGTACTTGACTTAATTTTATTTGATATTTTTCTTCTCCGCAATTTTTAAATTAAGTTTGTTAATTAGAAGTTAGTTTTTAAATTAACTTATAATTCTTATCATTCGCATTTTAAAATAAAACTCGAAAAAAAATAATTAAATTTGCTTTATATATTTTTCAAAAAAAATTATTATTATATGCCTTTATAGAATATAAAAAAGTTACATGGTATCATAGCGAAATAAACTGATGAATACTCCATGTCCGTATATATAAACATACTCGAACTAATAACCATCATGATTTAAAGACAATAGTATATATTGGAATCAGTAATATGCAATAACCAAAGCTAAAAGGAAGGCTACAAGCGTGTATCTAGCCTTATTTAAAGATATCATTAAAATTATGAGATAATTTGAGTTATACTCGTACAAGTTCTCGTACATCAAAAATGCTGTCTGATCTATAAATCTTTATTGCTTTCCAAATCAATCATTAATGCTAATACATAGCATTAAGAGCATCAAATATTTTAACAATATACATATACACTACTTTTACTTTCTATTTATTGAGTTCCAGTTTTGTTACAGGTAAGTATGTACATACGAGTATGTTACATATGTATATATGTTAAAATTAAGTTTGTGGAAAGGCAGAATATGATCTACAAGAAAAAAACATTTTATTTATAAATTCATTGTAATACTTTTACTGAAAATGATTTATTTTTTGGAAACGTTAAACTTTTTTAACGTTTCCAAAATTAGATGATTGCCTATTGACCATCACAACAGTCTTTTCTGTTTTTGAATAATGACATGAGAGCTTCGTTACATTTTTCGAACTTCTTTTGCTTAGCTAAAACAAAAGGAATAAAACTTTCTTCAAGTGAAATTGAGACAAATACAATGATGTTTGAAGTTATGGAGATCTGAATTATTTATGTATATTAGTTCATAATGTTTTTTAAGCCTTACAATGTTCTTGCTTAAAATTTGGGTTGAAAGTAGTTCAAATCTCACTTTTACTGAATACCATAATTATCGCAAATAGTTGAAATTATTTTGGGTGACCTTGTTATATTGCATAATATTTCAAACAACGAACAACACAAAATAAAAAAGAAGATAATTACTTTGTATAAAAACAACGCAAGAAGATTAAATTATTAAATTCAACCACGCACCGAATTATAACAAGAAAAGGTTAAGTGATTGTTAGTAGCTGGTGATAGTAAGAGTAGTTTGGGCAGCTACCAAACTACATACTATCAATACATGCGTGTATAAGTTTTTTCATATATGTTAAGCGATTGAGCAAACATGTAAAATTCGTTTACTTGAGTTGATGACGCAGTTTCACTAGTTAAATCTAATTAAATATAATGACATTTTAGTCAAATTTTACAAGGCACTGTAAGTGGAAATAATTTACTCATAAACACTTAGTTTCACAAAAAGGAAACCTGACAGTGAGAAAGTATGTATAAGCGTTAAGCTGAAACTACTAGTAAAGCTTAAGATTTGCATTATTAAGAAAATGGAATGAAATTATTGCTATGGGATTTGAATTTTACATTTGTCATAGCGTAAATTTGAGTGAATTGAGAGATTGTAAGTGAGCTTTGTGTGTAAAAGAAACAAGACGGCAAGTATGCAAAAGCGTTTGAAGCATATTTCGTTAAATCCACGAAGCAATGCTAAATAATCACAACCTTTCTTGTAAAGTGTATATAAAAGCGCTTGCATTCCACTAAACAACACAAAGGTTTTGACATTGGTTTAGGGCACCTGTGGAAGCAGCTTAAAAGGATAAAAATAAATTGTCACATAAAATGAATCTATTTGTAAGTTATTTTGGCATCATTTCGAAATTTCAAATAATGATTTGTTTGAATTAAAGATTTTACTGTGCATATCCTTATGTCCCGCACCAATTTGGACTGCATCAAAAACTGTTATTAAAACTACTGATAAAAATGTACAGAAGAATAAAACTGTTGATCAAAAGAATAAACGTGAAGCAGCAGCTCCCAGTAAAAATAATTACCATGGGCCTTCACACAAATACTTACCTCCGAGCTCTGTAGGTGGATATGATCTATACAGTACTCAGCATAGTAACTCAGTTGGGGCGGAAGGTAATGATATCACTACTGATGTCGGTGGGAGGCATTATGATGGAAATGTTAAAACATATATTGTAGAACATATAAGAGAAGCAGGTGGTGTCAGTGGAAACGTTGAAGGTAGTTATTATTATGGTAGTTCGGACTCACATGGTTCACTAATGGGTGGTACAGCAGCATTGGTTGATACTAGTTTCGGTGGTTATGGACATAATTTAGCTCAAGGTAATCAACACGGTCAGAGTGGACAAAAATTTCAATCATTTGTAATACCAGTACAAAATCTGAATACTGTCCAGGGAAGTATTCTCAATAACGTAGGCACTAGCCATGCTGGCAAAGGTGGTTTTGGTAGTGTCGATCATTCGCATGGTAATGATATAACCAGACATTATTCGTTTGATGATAGTTTACATACACATGGTGAGTTGGCAAGACATTTCTCACAACAACCTGTCAGCAACTATAAAAATTCAATCAGTATCGACAGTTCTACCAGATTTGGTCATGTAGATGACATTGGAGCCGGATTTATTCACTCTGCCAATAATTTAGTTGCCGGTATATCTAATAATTTTGGAGGCGAACACTCTATAGGCAGTTACAAGCCGAACATTATTCATAATGCACAAAATTCCCCCGCGGATCTTTCATCCAAATCCAAATATTACGACCGTGCAAACTTTTACTCTACCACTTTATTAAAAGATGAAACGCCAATATATGCATTGGGTCATAAAGGTCTTGGTCATTTCAGTTACATATCAAGTAAGCCACAAGGGCTTAACACAAATTTCATTGGTTCAACACACTCAAGAAGAAGTTTTAATGGACATTCGAAAGCATTATTTAATCCAACTGCATATGTAGGCCTCACTTTTAAAGGTAGCAATGATTACAATTTAATCTCAAGTAGTTATAGGCCGCAAATATTAAGTTATGCAATACCTCAATCTTCTGGGTACGACTACCAGGCACCAACAAATGAATATACTTTACCAACAGACTCAGCAAAAACAGTTTCATCCATACATAAACCTGAATCTTCATACATTCGTCCAACAGCACCAGAAACTAGCTATCGCCAATCCACCAGCTTCTATAATCCATTGTATCATTATTAGCTATTCGTCGAAGAAAGAACAATGTTAATAATTTATTATTTATGTTATTCCCAAAGTTATTTTAATTTATATATCCAAAATAAATCTATTACTATATAATACTGGTTTATTCTGTGTTTAATTTTGGTTTTTGTAATTAAACATTTATCTATTCATAATCTTGATAATTGGTACATAATAATGTATATCTACTACGCAAAAGTAATCTTTTCATATGAATGCGTTGTATCTGTTAAATCTTTTCAATATAAGCTTAAATATTGAAAATATCAATTTTTAAATCATCAACTAATTATTCTGATTGTGTACGAATCAAAACGTACGAATATTATATATTTTTAGTCAAAAAATTTAGTGGATTATACTTAAGTCCAATATCGATCAAATCCGTTCAGAGATCAATTTTGCTCTTGCATGTTAATATGAGAAATGCTGAAAAAAGTTGTCAGAGAAAGATATGTTTTTAAAATAATTTTTTGTTTGATTAACAATAAAATTTGTTCTTTACATCCTTAAACTGTAACTCAGGTTTTACAATAGGTGCTTTCGGTGGCTCGCGGGTATGGCGAAAAACTACAAGAACTGAACTACAAACATTACAACGAACTAAAAAAACATCAGAACACAATTTTTTGTTATTTATGCACATTACAATTGATTATTACACTTAAACACACGAAAAACAAATTACTCGTAAATATAGGTTTTATATATATAAAACCATCCTCGCGTGAAAATAATCACAGCTCGCTCTTTCAGTTCGGCGAGGTGATCTGTAATTTCATAGAAATAATATATAGAAATACATATAATTAAAAAAAATTAATAATACGCTTACTTTATTTATTTATTTATTAATTGTATTTATTTTGTTTTTTTAAATACTTTTTAATATTTATTTCACCATCAACCGAATTTATAAAATAAATTAAATTCGAAAATAGTAAAAAGAGAGTGCAAATAAAATTAGGAATCCATAATGACTACCACATGCCAGATGAGACAGCAAAAATGCAAAACGGAAAAATGAACAAAAGATCACAAAAACCACACGCTACATAAAAGTTCGATTGGGTATTTAAGATGCGCAGTTTTCTTATGCAGTCGACTTGAAATATAATTTCTAAGACACATACACCTCAGAATAGCAAGTTTAATTGAGCACTTGGTGCACAAAGGAAAAATCGCTAGGAAATAATTCAATATAACGAATTATTAAATACAAAGAATTAGTTCCCTAGTAAGAAATATCTAAGCGAAGGAATACTTTTTATAGTAGAAATACTCAAACTAAAGAATACTTACATTGAATCATCAAGACACGATAGGTGTTATTACATCATCAAGACACGATAGGTGTTATTACATCGACTGTGTCAGAAGTAATTCCTTGTAATAAGCAAAACAGATACAAACGAAGGAATACTTACATTGAATTACAAAGATACAACAGGTTATATCTAGAGTAATTCCTTATAGTATATAAATTACATTCTATAACCAATATATCTCTAACCGAATTATCTTAACCTTTATGTGCTCGGTAGTCTACATTTGTAGCATTTTGTGCGAAAAAGTCTTATAAAAACGAATTTTGCACAACGACAGGGTGCGAGATTTTTAGTAGTTTCCTAAAAATCAATTTTAAGTTAATTTTAAACTTAACAGCATCAAAACAATAATTTATTTAAGCCCTAGACCCAACTTTTCAAAATGATCACCTCCTGGCCGGTAGTCTACATTTGTAGTCACCATATAATTTATATGAAAATTCATATTAAATACCTATGTAACTCAATATTTTTATTCTCTGTTTACTTGTACATACTTGTGCTGCGTATTTGTACTTATTTGCATGATTTTATGGTTTAGATCGCAACAGTAGGAGGATTAGGAAGCGCAGTTCATACTGCTGTAATCAATTTTCTGCTTATGCTCAATCTGATTACAAGGTAATGCTTTCGATCCGCTTTCGATTGGTTAATTTGGTAATGAAATAATTTATTTGAAACATAGAGCAGTAAAATAAAATAAGAATATTGGAAAATATGATTGAACGTGCTTCAACTCGGCCAATATGAGTTGTTAAACAGTACGTGTGTTTGCAGGTTTTCCTTTTTTGGAAGTGGCTTATAAAAAAAGAATGCCGACAATATATTGACAAATTACTGAGCGAGATTGATGAGGAGGAAGAGGAGCACTAGTTTTTAGCGATGAATGGTTTGATGATCATGTACCACTTGACCATTATACAAGTTCCAGCTCAAGCAATGTTTTTGTTGGTGCTGTAAGTGTTGCGATTGGTTTCTATTCTAAAGAATCTGACGCCGAGAATGAAATGATACTTGGTGAAGAAGGTGATTCAGAAATATGAGCAAGAATAAGGTATATTATTCGAAATAAATTTTGATTATGTGATGAATGTCAAAGAGACATCGGTCGTTATGCAGCATCTTGATACGTTTGTGTCAAGAGATAATACTGTCTGGTTCAAAACTATACCTAATCAATACCGTATTCGTATTCGAATCAATACCGTATTCGATACTTGAATAAATTTTGAGAGGAACAAACTGAAAAGCCAGGAAAACTACGCGAATATTTGCAGTTGGTGCATAAAAACCAGTGTGTGACGTACAAACAGTCACATATTCTTTGGGTGAATGTTGTTCCTCAAAAGCTACTTAAAACCTTTTTTACCCAAATTTTGTATAATAATAAATATGTACAATTGTCTATAAAAGTAAAATAATCTGCCTAAAAGTGTTTTTGGTCTAGATTTCTTCATAACATACTTGCTTGCTACACATGTAGACTTCCGACCGGCAACGTAGGAAAAATATCCCGAGCACATAAAGGTTAAATAAACCATAAGTACAAGAACTTGAAGAAAGACCTCCTGAAGACATTCAAACAAGCTTATACTGAGATTTCCTGAAACATATCTCGATTCTTTTAAATACATTGTAAATATTTTCTTTGTTTTTATATATATTCTTTTAAATTGTAAAATTTGAAATAATTATACTTTATAATAAAGTATAAATAAAAATTAAGAAAAGAACCACGATTTTGAAAAACGACTACCTATAATTGCTAAGGGAGACATGGTTGTAATCTGTCAAGTGTTATGTTTTGGCAAATAGCAAATCTTGCAAATGTGCACATAATGCAAGCAAATTATAATACACTTTATATAAAAATAATTAATATAAATTGAAAACTAAAACGAATGCAGAATTAAAAGGAATGGTAAAAATTTTAGAAATTTCAAAATAAAACATCAAATTTATGAACTTTTTACATATTATTTTTGACATATGATTGCAATATTCGTTGAAATTTCCAATGAAAGCTCACATTAGTTCACTTATTGCGTTGGTAACATTATTTTCTTTATTGGCCGCGGTGTGTGGCCTAGATAGAGAAAATGCTGTTGTTGTTTTGCGTACATTTCGGCCAGTATAGGCCTGCAACTTGCTGTTTTCTGCCATACTTGTTAGCCACTGAAAACGCTTATATTTGTGCGAATTCTTGTTATAGTTTGTAGTTATTGTTAAAAATGTAATAATTGGTCTTATTACATATTAATTTTGTTATTAATAGTAATCATAATAGCCTAAATAGTATTTCGTTACCTTCGTATGCATTAGAAAATGCAACTACAGTTTTAGGAATTGCATAAAGTGTATATCATCTATCATATTTAAAAATTTGCTGAATCTAATTTTTTGAATAATTTAAAATTTAAAATGAATTTTGAAAAATATCTTTAATTAAGTATATATTTGCTATTATGTAAGCATAAATATTATGTTAAGTTGTGTAAAATATTAACTTATATTTTTAAATATTTTGCTATTTGCTGTCAATTTTCTAAGAACAACAGAAGAAGAGGGTACCTTATTCTAAAAAATATTTAACAACCTTGAAAATATCTTTAACATTGTGATTTAATGTTTAAAAATCTATTCCTGCTGCACGTCAAAATCGACCGATACAAGTTGATTTAAAACTGTAATTGAAACAGTGTTTTTTTTTATTATAATATGTAACTCTTTTGATTTCCTTCCGAAATTTCAGAAACTTCGAACGAATTAATTAATAAAGTTATATAGTATATAGTTGTCTAAGGATAGGTACGTATTATCCCTCTTCTAATGTGGAAAATATTATCGAAAATATTAACAAAAATCAAGATGTTAATAGAAATAAGGATAACAAGGTATATAAAAGTATTATGGTATATGTGTTCCTAAACTTTCTAACCAAATATTGATACCGAACATATATGAGAAATTGAATTATATCACACTGAGATCTGGGAATAATGCGCTATATTTCAACTTTGAAAATAAAATAAAAAAATAAAGAAATCAAACGTAGTTACCAAATCAAAAACTGATGTTGACAACTTTGCCCACATGTATAAAAGTATTACACTTCAATCAGCAGGTGCAGGATTAAATCTCCGATGGGCACATGTGTTTAAAGTTACGTACGGTACTCATGACTCTGGCCAGACCCATATGCATTTTCATGCATTTGTACGTAAATATTAAGTACTTTAATGCGTAAATATACGATGTATTTATATATTTTAAATTATTTTTAGCTTGGATTTTTGGTAATTTTTTATTTAATACACTTTTGCGGATAAAAATAGCGGGAAAATAAAAAAAATAAGATTTGTATGCAGTAACATTTTATTATTTTATTAAAATACATAATATAAATTTAACAAAAACTAATATACTAATATAATTTATAGATAAATTTATATAAAAACTAATTTATTTAATTATTTTTACAACAATTAAAACATATATATATTCAAGTTTAGAAAGTTGTTGACACACTGGATTGAAACATTTGATGCAAAAGAAACGTGTTTTGCTTGATAATTTTTCACCTTTTGAACAAATGTTGCAATTTTTCTTCTTCTCGAGTGTATCTGCCACACTAATGCCAGTAACGTCTTCATGACCGAACGTGTGCTGAACTGTTTG